AAAAAAAAAAAAAAAAAAAAAAAAAAAAAAAAGTTTTGAATTTGTTGTTTAAGTTGTTTGAAGCAGAAGACTTGCTTTTAGTGCTTTTACTGCAAATAACAGAAAGAATGGGAAAGAACGTTCTTATTTCTGCAACTTCTACAATGAAACATGTTGATACGAAAACATTGCAATCATCGGTGGCTTTAGTTGTCACCTTTATATCTTATGTTTTTCTGATGTACGTATATTTGTGTGCATATATTTATATGTATATCGGTCTTGGCGATTATCAGTAAAAAATTCTCTTTATTGTTAATTCAAAACGCATATGTGTAAATAATGGGAGGGCTTCGTCTTTGAAAGAAAATAAGAACTTTTTTTTTGGCGTGATATTTACGAAGTTTGCTTAGGTATTTACAGTATTATTTAGTCAATAAGGCGAGAGATTTTTTGGAAATGCATTTTGTGATGCGTTCCTGTTGTTGCTTTATTTGTCACTTTTTTATTTCTTATTCTGTTATTCTTATTATCATTATTTTTTTTGTTTTTGTTACGATGAGATTTTATAAAACTTGTTTTTTGCAGCCGCCCAGCTAAGTACAGCCGTTAAGGTTAACATCTGAGCTGCTTCTACCATCACCAGCTATGGCTGACGTTAAGACCACCGTGAGTTACTAATTTCAATTTTTTTAAATTTTTTGTGCGCTTGAATGCTGTTTTACGACGTGTACGGAGATTACGTGGCAGTTGTTTTATTCGGGATTTATTTCTACCGCTTGTAAGCTTGTTTGAATAATGCTGCGATGATGTTACTATCGGCTTCGTTCACTGAATTAATTATCTAGAAATTGATTCTTGAAGTTCAAAGTTTGTCAGTTGAAGTAATGCTTTAAGAGAAGTGGATGATTTCTATAGAAGTTGTTTTTAAGGAGGGCGAGCAAGATCAGCAGAAGCCGGAAGCTCCTTTAAATGACGAAAATCACATCGGCGGCAAAAAAATCATTGCTCGTCAGATCAAAGGGACTGTTAAATGGTATTGAAACTTTTTTCGTTCAGTACACTATCAGTTCCCCGTGTTTCGAAATAAAAAGCTTTTGTTTGCTTCTTTTTATTTTTCTTTCTTTGTTATTTAAGGTTCAACGTGAAAAATGGCTTCGGGTTCATAAACCGTGAAGATACTGGTGATGACATTTTCGTTCACCAGACTGCCGTCACAAAGAACAATCCCAACAAATATCTGCGGTCATTAGGTGATGGGGAAAAGGTATTTAAAAAGATAAATCAGTTTCTCTTATTTTGTCTTTATCAATTTTTCAACTGAAAGGAACAGTAGCATGCAATACAGATGTCAGCACAACGAGAAAAAGTTCACTTTTCTTGGGGTGAATTACATTTTAATTCTTGAATCTTTAGCAGTAGTCGCTATTTGCAGCTAAGAGGCTTTTCAGTCAATTACTGCCTTTTTCTCTACTACTAATACTTGTTTACTTGGTGCTCTTTAGGAGTTAGCAGAATCGCTTCTTTGGTTATTTTTTGTTATTGTATTTTTAACTTTAGTTAGTTTATCTGGCAGCGAATAATTTTCAGGTTGAATTTGATGTCGTTGTGGGGGAGAAAGGCCCAGAAGCGGCTAATGTTACTGGACCTGATGGAGCCGTTGTTGAAGGGTCGAAGTATGCCGCTAATATATCTGATGGTCGTGGCGCTAGAGGATATCGCAGGCGTTATTATTATGGAAATCGTTCAGGTCGTCGCGGCCCCCGAGCTACTTCCGAAGGAGAAGCGCAGGCAGGCGAAGGTGAAGGTGAAGACGTGAGTAATTTACCACCCTTCAGGAATTTCTCTAATAATTTTCGTAACT